TTGGGCAGCGAACGAATGTGTTTGGTCATTTTTCAACCCGTACGACACCGTCGAGGAATTTTATCTCTCTCATGATCGTGACTCGCACAAGCCTATAACAAAATCGTACTTGAATTCCAAAGCCACCTCCCTACGAATGATTAAAATATAAAATATATGTAAAAAGTTACATAGCACTCTACCTACGGTCACAGATGTCTCAAATGGAATAAACACTCTGTATATCAATCTTAAATGAAGACCACCCACACTTGTGTAAAGTGGCATTTTAACTATCTACGTATCCAAAACTATAATATGCCCTACATTGGCAGAATAATTGTGACACACATGACGGCAGGGTTAGCTTCATCATGTGTTAGGGGAAGGTTGAAAGTTAGTACATGGTATTTTTTTAGTACCATGTACTAACCTTCAACCTTCCCCTAACACATGATGAAGCTAACCCTGCCGTCATGTGCCACAATTATTCTGCCGCGGTCGGCAAAATAAAAATTTAGCAGCTTTCTCTTTTTCGCTACCAGTGAAAAGTATGAGTATCAGCTTTGGAAAGTGTCTACGACGCTCTGGAAAAAGGATTGGATTTAAAAGACCTAAAACGCTTTAGGAAGGGGCTCTAAGGTTCTGGACCACATTTAAGGAAAGGCCACAGAGATTTGGAAAGCGCCCAGACCGTTTCCCAAAAATGCTTGAATATTCTGGAAAGGCGATGAGAACTTCTCGAAATAGCTTTTCTGACGTCTTTAATAATTTGAAACCTGTCTCAAAACTTCCTGTCGCCCAGAACTTTCCAGTACCGTTTTAAATATTTTTATATTCTTTCCAGAACTATGTAGAGTATGTGAGAGCTTCATCTTTCCTGGAGCGGTTTAGAATCAAAGCAAAGCATTCATTCATTAATTCATTTTTTATTTGTAAATAACAATTGTATACACAACAAATTTACACGTCAACAAACAAACATAGAAATGTAACAAACATAGAAATTCGAAAGTTATTCAGAGCAATGAACTGATAGCCGCCACAGAAAACTTTGCAGGGTATTTTAGGGCATTCTATCGCTTTCCCATGTGCCTTTAGGCCCTTTTCTAAGCTAAGGTAACATTTCTGGTCATATAGTATGCTAAGAATGGCCTAGAGAGCTTTGAAACTGGGCAGAATCATTAAATGCATTGATTGATATATAAAACTCTAGGAAGGGCCTCAAGGATTATAAGAACGCGATCGGAAGCCCTAGAAACCCGATATAAAGCTATTGAAAACTTTTTATTGCATTTTAAGATCTTACAGATATATTGCTGTGTACAATGATATGCGGCAAAACTACACCACCAACAAGACACCTGTCCAGCTATCTCAAACAAATCAAAATTGAAACTTGTAGAATTGTTATAAGTTCTTCTCGTACTCGTTCATTTCAGAAAAATCCCAATATTGACTTTAAATTAATAATTTGAGAGACTCAGTGACCTCGGTTAACTGCTGAAAATTCCAAAACTACGTTAACACCTAACACAATTATTGGACACGAGAAGAAAAATCTGAGATCAAAAGTATCTGGGTCGCACAATGGATTCCAATAAATACACAAGTTAATTGATTGGCAAGGACAAAATTTTCATTCCGAAACACATGGAAAGAACATCAACATATGTAAACTCAAACGCTAAGCTCCAATGTAACTTATGATTTACATAGCCTTCGTGCTTGAATTATGAACAAACTAACTTTAAATGATAACCAGAAGGTAATATTTAATAAATACTCGAAACCTTCCCCATAAAGTTAGATTTAATGGTTATATGTATATCAAAATCACTAGCATTTTTTTTTAACGGCTAACCCTTGTATTTCTAGGTGACAGTCAAGCAAAATTTTATTAACACGACGACTTCTGAATCTGCCAGGGAAAACATTCACTAAGTAACAATTTTACACCCTATGTTTTGTTACCGCTCTTTCAACTGCGAGCGATTAGTACAATGTTATTGGTTACGAATGTGGATGACAAAGTTCAATCCCCTTTTTACCACTCGCACGGTATTGCATTGGGGTAAAAAATCCAAGTTTTGAAGCATCAGGAATGCGAATAAAACAAAATTTTGATGATGTGGGTCTGGCTGAACCGATTGGAACCAAATTTGGTACACATATTCTTAGATAAAGGAAAGAGCTAAGAAGCTTTTGGGCATAATCGGGCATGCGCATGTGTTCGGATGGTATCTGTGCTACCTGCTAACCACAGCAAATTTTTGTTGCATACGCGCTAGAATCGCTTACCATTGCAATAAGCAATAGCCCCTTTGTAGCGGCCAAAAATATGCTACTGGCGCGTTTAATTGATCTGTCCTTTTTCGCCACGGTAATTCGCCCACCCAACTCCTCAAGTTATCGTCTTTTCTTTATAAAATAAACCTTGTCTTTAGCAGAAACAAATAACTGACGTTGGAATCAATTCGCTCTAACTCTAAACTTTCACTCTGGCAAAGCTCCAACCAAATTGTTTCGTGACGAAACTACGTGAAATCTCTTGGTAATTCTCGACTGAATCTCTTCAAAACTTCCCCCGGATTAACTACCCGCGGAAAATCACTCGGAGAACGAATTTACTTTTTTTACTAAACACTACTTACTTCCTACTTAGATAGTTACTGATTAATTTACGACTTTTTCAAGGTGGCTTCTAGTAATTAAGTAATCTTTTTTTTTGTTAAGGATCAATCAGAGTTACGATATCCTCCTGAAATGTATACTACTATCACTCACTGAATTGTCTACATATTTAACAAATCCCACGATACGGAGATGACTTATTGCTTAATTAGCAATCTTAATCGCGTAGCCCTAATTAAGATAACCGGGCGGACGGGGCCACACCGATTCCCAGAGGTCGCTCCGTATATACAGTTCATGGGCGTATAATTATAAAAACGATCGCTTCCACCAAATACTTACTGACTCTTTTACAGTGCCACCAGCCATACATAATTTATTGGAAAATTCGATCCTCTAATTACTACACCCTGTAGACTGTCTATGATCTGTAGTGCTTAAGCTCAAACGAATCTTTAAAAAGTCTCAAAAATCCACACTTTATCTATCACTATAAAATTAGAAAAATTTTCAAGAAATTTATTTTCTACACAGAGTAAGTACTTATTACTGTCATAATTACACTCTCATGAAGTTAGCAATAACCATTTAGAAAAAAAAATTGCGTAAACATCCAAACTACATAAAAACATATTGACAGACACATTTAAACTAAAATAATAATAATTTATTAGATAGAGAAACAATTTGCACAAACACTAAATAAGATTTCTACCCTACTCTAGCATAAACAATGATTATATATGAACGATATAAATACATTCCCCATCCCTAATGGGTAACTTTAATTTACATTTACATTATTTTGTTTTGCGTTGTTTTTTATAAAGATTATTTTTTTGTATTGAGAGACCCAATTTTAGCAAAAAACGACTACAATTCTCTGATGTACCATTTCTTAGCCTTTGACCATGAACAGGTATTTTTTAGTCCTACTGACCTTCAATGTATCAACCTTTGCTCTCTTTTATTAAAATAAATCTTTCTTGGTATTGAGAAACCACAACTTGACAATAGAATCAAATTCCCTAACGTACCATATGTTAGCCCCCTTCCCCTCCAAACTGATCATAAACCCCTATCCCTAATGACTCATGTTTATTAACGAGCTCCTAGCGAGTTTATAATTTTGTTGTGTCTGTCCGTCCGTCCGTCTGTCCGTCCGTTAGCACGATAACTCATAAACGAATGGACCGATTACGATGAAATTTTGCAGGTGGATTCTATAACAAATTTGTAGATCGGAGTTCGTGAATTGACAATGTAGCCCAAAAAATAAAGTAGGCCATTTTGGCATCTCCGTTAGTTATGAACCGAATTGCATGAAATTCAATATGCGCATAGCTTTAGCCATATAAAACACAATTCCAAAAGTTGAGCCTAATCGACCAGCATTCACAGTGCCCTTTGCGCATCTCCCCCATTTACAGACCGAATTGCAAACTTTCTTATTTATGAAGGTATTTAAATGAAATTTGATACATAGCCACTTCTAATAAAGGCAAATTTAACGCCAGTTTTAAAATTTGGTTTTACGGATGCGCAGTGCAAACTTTCTTATTTATGGAGGGATTTAAATAAAATTTGATACATAGCCACTTGGAATAAAAGCAAATTTAACACAAGTTTCAAAATTTAGTTTTGCGCATGCGCAGTGCCAACTTTCTTATTTATGGAGGCATTCAAACGAAATGTCATACATATACACTTTAAATAAAAGCAAAACTAACATCAGGTTTAAAATTTGGTTTTGCACATGCAAGAGCTCGTTTGCTATATTTGTTTAATTTATTATTATAAAATTCGCTGGGAGACACAGTTGACAGGCAGAAAAAGACCTTACCCGGGAAAAATATACAAAAGCAATCTATTCCTACCTGTAATCGGTAATTCAACTTTTCGGAAAAGATTAAATACGATTCCTAATGCAAATCTACTGTGACTCCCCCCTCCCCCCCAACCACCTAACCCACCCTTCCCTTCAATGGGCATAAAAGGTAAATCACCAATTTTTCCTTGATTTTTCACACCTTGTTTTGCATGTTTCACATACAAATCGATTTTTTATACTGAGAGACACAATAAGCCAAACGAAAAATAGACAATTCACTCCTTTCTCTAATACAACAATTTTTATACCATTTTTAACCGATTTTTGATATTTAGAGGGACACAATTTTGGAAAAGATGGAATACAAATCCTTTACTCTACCCCACCCAGCTTTTAAAAACTATCATTAAAGGTAACCCACCCCTATCCCTAACGGTGCAATTTTGCATTAAAGTATTGACACCTTCTTTCCCGCGTTAATGCACCCTATTTTAGCCCCCCCCCCTCTTCTCACGAACAACGATCATATAAAGTAAACTTTTTTAGTCCCCTCGACAATGATAACAAAAGGTAATGAAATTTTCACATTTTATCTTGCTCGTGTCTTATCTAATAAAAATGACTTCCTGATACCGATCATAAAAAGTTTTGCCTTGAACTAAAAATGAAATTAATTAATAAATTAATGATTACTATTTTAAAGTGGATTTGAAGAAATTACTGATAATTTTCGACTCTGAATGTGTAACTAATTTTGATTAAGTTTCAACAGGTAGATCCATTCACACGTTTTATAATTAAGTCTATTTCCCAACAGACACACGGTGCCTATAACAATCTATCAGTTATGAATAAAGACACTGTCTGGGTTACATCTATGCCTATTATCTGGAGGGAATGTAAAAATTGAACTTTACGTATCATTAAGTATCACACTTTTGCTTTGTCAAATCCCACTGTCGTACGACAGCGAATAAACTTCCCGTTATATCAATTGGCATTTAGTAACAGGGTTCATAAGAGCGTCCTTTTCGCAGTTAAAATCTTCCGCAAATTCCCGACTGTTTCGCACGGTAGCATACACAAGATTTTTAGGTAAATCCCTCGTATCCGGCAGGTAACTCAAATCGTATTCTTCCGTACTGTTGGCAAAACACCCGACCGACGATATCCAGAATAACTGCCTGGAGTTATACTCCAACCCTTCAAGACTGACATCTTCTTGATCCTGAATAAAAGAGTGGTATGCTAATTTTACCCCGGAAATACTTCCTTGCATTTCGAGCAGCTAAAATTGAACATACGTAAAAGTGATCCGTAAACTGCACTTACCATAAAATCGAAAGTAATTTTTTTGAAATCTTGCATGCCGTGTACGAGACATTCCGATAATTTCCCATAGTTTTCGGAAGTTGGCGTCGCCCACCCCACGATCTTGTTGCCAAGTCTATCGAAAAAGCTCGCCGAGAGCTTCAAAAGGCTGCTGAGCTGCTTTCCGAGATCTTTTCCCAAATTCGCGTATTGGAAGTACTTCGGTTGTTCCATGTCAAAATTCTGAATCTTCATTTGTACCGTTGGCACACCTACGATATGATCTAAAATTTAATTCTTACCCCTTCGCAACTTACGTAAGGTGTTGAGTTCGGCGTAGTAGTAGATGTCGTACGGTAAAACAAAGGAACGACGTGGTGTGTTTGATTTTGTGACTTTTGCGTAGTTTTGGCTCACGAAGTTTTTGTTAAGCGCCGCCAATAAATTGAGGAAATTTTCCGATTTTGGAAGCGTCTGAAATTGTTGAACGTCCTAAGTGTTTATACAACATGATCGTACCAAATCTCCGGAGACGCTCTCCAGTATTGAATCGTCAAAGTAATCGCCCACTTCGGCTACGGCCACTTCCAGGTGTTTCGCCTTTTCTTCCACGTTCTGTCTGTCATCCGTTGACAACCATGTTACGTTTGATAGTAAAGTTACAAACGCCTCACGAATCTTTGTAATTAGCGTTTCAATTGCGACCTTTTTACTTTTAGGTGCGTACTTCCTAGCGTACATTACATCGATAGGGTTAGTGATGAATCTTAAATTGGAGCGCTGTTTTAAATGTTTTAAATGTGAGCAAAAACCTTTTTTCAATTTCCTGTTGGCAAAATTGGTTTCTTGATTCTTTAACGTCGTCCTCAGAAAGCAAATCTTGCATCACAGGAGACAAGTAAGGGAGGGCCTCCTGTATAACCTTCCACATCATGTAATTGGCTAGCGTGCTGTACAGAATTTTAAAGGTAATCTTAAAGAGTAGTGATTCTCACCGTTTTGGTGTTCTTCGGAGCAAATCGAAGCGCTTACGCAAGCTGGATTCTTCCACCACCATGATCTCATTTTCTTTAGATATTTGGGCCAACGGGCCGGCTATTGTGTTAATGAACGTGTGCCATTCTATAAATGGTAGCATTTCTTGGAGTTCGTTTATGGTAACGATTGGGTAGATCGACAAACCTCGGTGGTCTAACATTTGCTGTAGGATATAAATTCAGATATCATCGTGCAAGGTCTACCAGCTTACATCCGTGATGTCTTCTGCAAACTCGAATAGTCTCTTAAGCTCTCTTGTAGCACTAGTCGTGTTGATACCAAACGCCAAGGCGATTTTTTTAATGTTTGACTTCTTGTGCGAAACGCTATCTGTCGCCTCGTCTAAATCAAAAGGTATCCTAACCTAGGAAATTTTAAGAGCTAAGCTTATAATATGCCCATACGGATCCTAACAAAATTCCTGGCTTGAATTTTTTAGGGTCCTTGGCCCAAAAGCACATATGTACCAAAAATGTACCCTGCGCGTTAGGCGCCAGGTACCTATTTAGGCGCCATCCCCATTTTGCACCATCTCCTCTCCTAATTAAACTAGAGACGCGATCGGAACATGGTTGCAAAGGGTTTTTTAACCATATTTTGTGCAAAAACTTAGGGCTGACACTTGGCAAAAGTGATATAAAGGCTTTGTCGCAAGTCGAGTTCCGTGTGGAAGTGGAAGTTTTAACAAAATTCTCTCGAGTCTCCCTATTATATTACATAGTGTACTTTCATCCCGTAAGTAACCTCAAAATTGAGACAGTTGTCGATTCTTAAAAAAAAAATTAATTCAAAAGCCGATCCTCCACTCTCTGTCCGATCTCAAGACAAAAAATTTGACTTTAAAGAAGATTGCTTTTACTGCGGTGAGGCTGCGGACACGGAGCACGAAAAACGAAAGTCAGTAGAGAAGAGGAAACAAATGGACGAGGCCATATGACACTGAAATACAGTCAGTAAATCATGAATATTGCCCAATCAAGGGACACCACGTGGGATCGCGAGGTAGTAGGCCGCCTGTCCACCGCCTGCGATCTCATCGCCATGGAAGGGCGGTATCATCGTATATGCGCCAAAAGATTGAGCATGCACTTCCCGCCGGAGAAAGCGGTAGAACGCCCAGAAGATGAACAGTTACAAAAATCCCAAAAATTAGTATTTGATTTCATCGAAAAACAAGATGAATAAATGAACTTAACAACCTGTTGCATTCTCCCCCCCCCCCCGCCCCTGTTGTGCAGCCTTGACAACTGATCTCAGTGGTGGTTCTCTTGCTCTCCTTCATGGGAGCCATTTGATTTATGAAGAGACGCCTTGTGCACCCTCATTTTAAACAACATTGACCTCCTTTTCTACAAAAAACTTTAATACATTTTTGCTCTAAAATAATTTGGGGAGCCAATAATCGCATGTTATGAATTTTACATTGAAATCCCTATGATGCGTTACGCAAGTCACCACCCTGTATATCCATAAGTGACAAAAATATGCCTTTTGTTATTAGCATTACTTACCTTTTAGCGATATTTTGTAATATTTTAAAAAAGGTGATTTTATTCTGATGAATAAAAAAGAATTCAGAAAAATTAGTTTAAAAAACCAAAAATTTAAGGGTCTAACGTTTTCTTTGGCCTAAATTTTAGGTTAGGAACAAGCTCGGGAACAAGATATCGAGATGCGCTTTTCGTTTCGCATAGCTACTCATGAAAAAAAAATCAAACCAATGCATTTAATTTTTTTGAGAAAATTAATCATTTCTGTTGGAATGTGGAAGAAAGCCCTCTAGCGGCGACATGTGAAACTAACAAAACTCGGCCGTTTCGAAGATACAGGGTGTTTTTTACGGAAACCTTTGAATACCCACCACCACTTCATTTTTAGAGATACAGCAAAAATTCTCAAATAAAAAAGGTTCAGATTAGATAGTGCAATTCACAGAAACATAATAATAATATATTTTTGATGTATGTTGTTTTGCCTAGTGCAAGTATTATTTTGTTTTGCAAAGCACTACTATATATTATTATTATTATTATTAGTCTATAACTTGTTTGAGAAGTCTAATCGAAAAAGTACGAATCGATTTGGATTCTACGCACCAAAATTAATAAGAAAAAGTCTTTTCCCGAGAAATTTTGGTGTAGTCGATTTTTGTTAAAAAAGGAAGGTTTATACACTGCCTTTTTTTGAGGCCCGAAAAAAAAATTGTCTCAGATCGACCCGGAAAAAAAAATTTTCTTATAGAATGTGGCCTGTAGAATCCATAATTTCAAACAGTTCCAAGATTGGGCTACTAGTTCAAAAGTTACAGCCCTTTGAATTTTCTTTCGAAATTGGTTTCAAGTCTATAACTTTTGTTTGAGAAGTCTAATCGAAAAAGTAAGACTTGTTTTGGATTCTACGCACCAAAATTAATAAGAAAAAGTCTTTTCCCGAGAAATTTTGGTGTAGTCGATTTTTGTTAAAAAAGGAAGGTTACACACTGCCTTTTTTTGAGGCTCGAAAAAAAAATCGAAAAAGTACGAATATATTCCGTATCACTGTTCCATGTTACAGGTATATGTCATGCAGATAGTGAAAGTCGTTGCCGAACGATAACCATGTAACGACATCGTTACGCGTTAGAGAATAAGCCCCTTAGACATAACAGAAAGAGCTGGAGAATTGCGCATGTCCAAAACTTAGTCTGCATAAATGTCCCGTGTATTTTTCAATGAACCGTGAGGATTTGGGTTTTTTTGAGGCGATGTGACCGACACGTGCTCCAAAATTTGCAAATTTCTACATCTCGTACAGACGGTTGACACGCGTCTCGTTAGTGTCATGTCATGGCGTGGCGTGTAGTAGGTATGTTTCTTGAGTCATTTAAAGTGCACTTCATTATTTTAACTGGTTTTATGTTCCAAGATAACCAGGGCACGAGTGCTGTCGGCGGACGTGCAAGTCTGCTTTTAACGTTCGGTTATGTTTAAATATATTATGTTTTAAGCACATTTATGTCACTCAAGTCGTGTTCGTTTTTGCACAAAAAATGGTTAAAAAATTTAGGGTATCCAAATTAATTATTAGATAGGTATGCGAATTTTGACTGGATAATTTCTTACTAAAATTTCAGGCAGCTTATTATAATAATTATGCATTTAAAATCCGAGTACATTTTTGGTACAAATGTGGTTTTGAGCTAAGGCCCATATATTCAACCATGAAAAATTCGGGTTATCAGGAATTTTGTTGGGGTCAACTATAGTAATGATTTATACCTGAAATATACTCTTGGTTGCATTTCTGGGATCCGAACGCACATCCAAATCCAAAAAAATGGAAAACTCGTAACCTAACTTTCTTAACATGTACGTCGAATTTAACCAATCATATTCGGTTTGATTCCAATCGTTACCAAGTAAAAGAGGCCACCCTCCACCGACCGTACTCAAAGTTTGCTTGAACGTTTCCAAATTATCATTTTCGATTTCCGCTACGTTCATACACTCTCTGTAAAGCTTTTTAACAAATTTAACGGAGTAATGGTCATCCTCCATAATGGGGTCATTGTACATCTGCACGATTTCTTGCTGGGCGTTTTGTAAGATCGTCTCGATTGATTCCGCCGAAGGGTTGTTAGTCTTGTGAACATTTCCGCATGCAAATTGGTAAAAATCATTGCATGGGTTTGCGCTGGCATCCATTTGGAGTTTCAGTCGTTTGCTCTCTTTTTTGCAGAAATCGCTATCGCAATATCCTGTAATGTACGACTAATTGTAGCGATAATTGTTGATTAATTATTCATTATAAATGACAACGTAAAAAGATCGTTTTTAAAGCTAGGTTTTTGCAAAAAAAAAAAGGTTCAAATTGTTAACGATCGTAATCTCCGCTCTAATTATTACTAATAACAAAAAAAATTAGGATGGGAATTCGTTATTCTTAGAATGCCTGTCAACGTATCAAAATTTATTACTGTTTTTAATTATCTTTTATAGTTAATTAAATTAAATGAAAGGCTTCGTTGTTTATTTGACTTTTCCCAACCAATGATAAGATTTTGTATACCTACTTTCATATGATATACAAAATCTCCTATATTATACCTACCTACTAATGGAAGATAAGTGAACGACTGAATTAATCAAATTAATAGATCACAATACTGATGTATGTAGGTAATACTAACACTCTTAACACTGTTGTCAAGGTAATGAACAGTACAAGCATTTACAAAATTTTCGAGTTTTGGTGGTGCCTGTCGCCGTTTTTTTGGAAAGAAGCTCTATTTTATTTCTTTTACCGCAAAACGACCACCCTTCAGCAACAGAAAAGCGGAATTAAACCACATTCAACAATTGTTTGTGTTTAGTTTTACCGTGACACATTTAAAAGTTCCAGAATACAGGATGGAAAATGCTTTGAATTTGAGGTCTTTTATTTGGTACTATAAGTTAATGAAGTGCAGGTTCAATTTTTTACACATTTAAGGAGAGTTTTCAAAATCTTCGGAAACAAGCATATGTAATGGATGTTAACCTTACCTGATTTTTTACTGGTGATCACAATAGTTACGGTTATCACAACTATCAGAATTAAAGTAATCGCCCCAACGAGCAACCACCGCAACCATGGTTTCCTTTTAAACAATCCTTTGGTTTCTTCGGTTCTGCAATTTCTGTAAAATTAGTACGAAAAAGAAAATCACTCACGTTTCGGTCATGTTTCTCAAAACTATTCCTGGTGTGTCCAACTTACGAATGTAAATTGTACTGCATGTTAAAAAACAAGTCAGTTGAACTCATTGAGAACGGAAAATGAGACTAAATTTAGCTTTGTAAATTGTACGCTTGCAAGTTCAACTAATTAACAGTTCGTTAACTTTTTATGCTTAGTCCTTCTCGTTTGAAAAGTTTACTTTAAACGCATCATTTTTCTTTATTGAAATGAGAATGAGGATAACATTTTTAATCGAGATTATCGAGCTGTCTTGATAGGGCAAGGTCAACTATTGTAACAAATGAGTTATTGTTTTGCTAAAGTATTGCGGCCGTTTTGTCGCCTTTTGAAGCTTTGAAATGGCTTTATGTATTGAAATTTTATTGACTGAAATCCAGAATAAATAATTAAGATAAAAAACGTGTGTCATTTCTTTCGCATTGTAAACCAGGTCCGTAGCCAGGGGGTGGCAGGGCAGGGTTCAGCCCCCTCTAGAACGTAGGTAGTGGTTTTAATTGCTTTACAAAATACAAAACATAAATCTATACCCAACGGTCAACATACTATATACAGAAATTCCAAAATCAAACAAGCAAACCAACATATTCAGAAAAAGGAGAATTATGATGTAAAAGTGTTTTCTTTAACAAATTTAATTTTTGAACCAGAGAAGGGTTCACTTTATATGCACTTAAAGGGTGGCTCTTGGACCAGTATCAAACAAGGATACAAAAATATTCGATATACACTACATACTCATAATAGACGAATCCTGTGAACATTGTCAAACAAAGAAACAAAAATGTACCAAACAATCTAATCTAATACAAACAGCTTCAATTGGCATATATCTTGGTATCTTTAAGAAAAATAAATTACTAATTTCTAACATTAATCAAATAAACAGGTTGTATCAAATTTCGTGTTAAGTAAGTGTTAAGGTGTTAATAATAGCAATATGCATGAACAATCGAATTTCTTTAATAAAAACCGGAATTTAGCTATAATAAATGTTCAAATTTGTTAAAATGTCACTCAAAATGTGTTTTTTAGAACTCGAGGATCATTTTTGTCCATTTAACAAACTCTCTATCTGTGCTAATAAGCGAGATCTCTGTACTTAACATGAAATTTGATACAACCTGTATAGTTTACGCTCGAGTTTACGAAAACTTCTCTTGTATGTAAGTAGCTCTCAATTTTACATGAATCAAAATCTCTGCACCTAAAATTAAAATGTCGTTTGGCAGACGATCATTTTCACACAAAACAGGCTTGAAACGGCCCTTGTTTCTATTTCGGAAATTGACCAATGGGAACTGCGAATTGGATTTTAACGACGAATTGATGATTTCTACCTAATTTCGCCGGCATTGAACTTCCGTGTTTATTAATCGCAGGCAAACGAAGTTTTATCTTACTACAGTAGTTTGTTAACCTTTTTTCATAAAGTGTGACGGTTTTAATGGCTCTAAAGGCTATGAAACTTCAACAAAAGGATAAACTTTCACCAAGCAAAATCTAACATCCTCTATTTTTATTTAAATTTTGGCAAATACCAGCGTTGAAAAATTCCGGCTGTCTTAATTTATGCAACGAAACGCGTGTATTCGACCAAAAGAGGAAAAGTGGTAGGTAAATTCTCATTTAAAAAGAGATGGCCGAAATAACACTTGGTACTTTGCTGTATTATCTCGTAGTTTGAACTTCTCGAATGTCTAATGATTTGACTGCAAAGGCCAAAAAACAAAGTCTCTCGCCCTAGCTAGTCTCGAACGGCCGGTGTGTTAAGCTCTTTCTTAGATGAGAGTTTAGATGTATTTATTAAAGCTTTAATTTACAATAGTTCTTTTTTCGCTGCTAGAGGTCACGTTATGTACCTTTTTTCATTCTCTTTAATTTTGTCTTGCGTAAAAGCAGTATTCGTTCCTTTCAGAGATGATTCTGCATTCATAGTGGTTGCTTGTAAATTGTTTTTCTTTACAAGCCATTACTTTTCTCATCGTTTTCACTTAATTTTCTCATCTGCTTTACTTTTTCGTTATTATCTACCGGAGAATTTTGACGCAGAACACGTGACATATTCCCTCGCATATTCCTGACCTACTTTGAAAAAAGATTACACCCGCCGATGCTTTGTCTCCCTTACTTTTGTCACTCCGAAGATTCATTCATGTTAGTTGGATTACTTTCTATTCTTCAGATTTTTATTTACGTACGTTACTTGTATCATTACGAAGAAATTGTTATCTTGATTAAGTACATTTTAAATCCTTCAGATTGTTGTATAGTTATTTGTGCATCTTACAGTAGTTTTCTTGGTTTTACATACGCGGTGTCAATTTTAAAACTTGCAGTCGGCCATATTTTCCAAACTAAAGAAGATTTTGAAAATCGCGCAAAACCGTTTCGGGGGTATCGAGGGGGAACCAGAAGGACCTTATGAGTGACCACCCCCCACTCCCCCTTAACTCCCAGCCCCCCCTCTTCAAAAATCCTAAATGGCAACCCCATACTTGTGACACATCGTTAGAAAGCTACTGAAAAATGCTTTCCAGTGGTACCCATAAAGTCAATAATTTCATTAAGACAATTTAACAAAAATTTAATAATTAACACAAAAAAAACTAAACGTTGACATTGAGGGATTTATGGCCAATTGACCAACAACTTCAACCTGAGCTGCTTCATTAAGCAATCTTGGTTGCTTTATTTTTTTTATTGATAACAGATCCCGTTTCTTCGAATTTAGCAACCAAATCTTGAACATAGGCATGGTTTAATTTTTTTTTGTTGACTGCAAGTTTTAAAATTGACACTCTGCCTACCCCTTTTGGGTGCTGCCAATATGACCTATCGCCTATTGCGCAAATCGGTCAAATTATGGTTAACTGCTAATTAGGCATATACTAATTAGGCATATACTGCAGAACGGGGGGGGGGGTGTGATTAACCTCGGGAGTTATTAACCCCTTGACTCCAGTGGTCGACTCTAAATAATCTAAACGTGATTTCACAACCATGCAGCTTAGTAGAGTCCAAAAAAATGGTCCAGTCATTAGCAATTCACATTTGGGAGGACAATCACCGGGGGTTTCAGGGGCAAAGGACCATGGCGCCACGACGGAACTTTAAGGGGAAGGGCCAAAGAGTATATGTGCCAAGGTTCATAGCTTTACTTAAAATCGCGAATTTTATCTTAATTTAGGATGTAATCACACAGACTATACCGCATCACAGACACGGGTGTTTTGGTAGTTCGCATTTTAAGGGTGGTTTTTTTTTGGTAAGAAATGCACTAAAAGGAGACTATACCAACTGGAGTTTTGCAAATCAAGAAAATGTTCGGTACTCTATTCATAGGGTGGTTGAGGGTTAGTATTCCTTTCTCACCTTAATCAGCGGACTCTGGTCCTTTCATCGTTACCAATCCTTTTTTCAAATTTAATTAACGAGCGTTGCCTTAATTATGAGCATTATTTTGTTTGTTTTCTGTTAACATGAGAGATTGCAAAATGTGGATATAAAAGAAATTTTATCTCTTTAAAGCATGCAATGTTTCATAGCAGGATATGAACTATTAAAAAATGCGTGGGTTGTACCATCTGATTGATGCATTAAATCCGCATATAACAGAAGTAAGCTTCAAAAAATTATACTTACGCCATGGACGCCATCATTTTCAAGGAAAAAAATGTGTGCCCTGTCAAGATAGGGTGGAAGATTAATTTTTGCTCGAGAAGTAAAAAAAAATGTTTCAAAAGCCACTCCTGGGTGTTGCAGCGTATAACACACAACTGTAACGGTCAAATATAGAAATAGCAGCTATCAATTAGCGAAAACCCGAAGTCTCTAGGTGGCCTAGGGCCCGACATCTTGAAGGAACTGGCAGACAGACGACAGACAGACAGACGACGGAAAATTGAGCATATAAGCGTTACGGCAACTTTGTTGTGTACGCTTTACATGTCAAAATAAAAATCTCTGAATATAACCAATGAAATATCGTAAAAGGGGGTGTCCTTTTGGTGCCAAAATATAAAAGAAACTTAAAGACTATATAAAAAATTGTACTCGAGAGTATCTCATTAGATTTTGAAACAAAACTGCCAATCATTGTTTTTTGGTCACCCGGTACAATACCATAGTTAGGACTAGCTCATATGTATCGCATGTCACCCTCTTTTACGATTGCGACAAGTTACCCTACTATCCCTTTTAAAGGAAGCACGTACATTAGGATTAATTGTCGCTTTATTAATTAGAGTTAAATTTTATAATACCTTTCCCCACTCGTCTTTTATAAACTGCCAGTCTTAGCCGACTTTGCCTTAATTCTTATTAAAAACATTAGGGTACTTATCTTCAGAGGTCACGACTTTGTTCATTAAATGGGCGCCTCATTCTTTTTAGTGGCATTCTTTGAGATTATCGCTGCCGTTCAGGAACTCTTTATTTTTAATGGCGACTTCCGATATTTTTAATTATATAAATTCTATTTAGAAAAGGACGATCTTAATACTTTGTTTTCAAAATAGTTCACTTTAGTTCTTCGAGTTATTTTTCCGTAAGAGAAATGGGGTTGTATCTTGTGGGTACTCTACAGAGGCAGGGAAAATTCTTGGTCAGTTGCTAAATTTTAACTTTTGCGATAAGGAACTATCTTACTAATAAAATTCAGTTTTAGTAAAATATTTCCACCCTCGTAATTTTGCTGTAGTCGCTGTAGACCTCTTCACCACCATTTGAAATCGAGTCCGTAGTCTTTTGGTGTGGATGCTTTACCTCTGACATCATACAATTTACTTATGAATTTTATATCCTGTTAGGTTAATAAAAATTCAATGAATCAATGCACTAAAACTAGAAGCAAAGCAAGAATTGATAACAGGAGTAATAAAACAAGTAAGTACGATGACATTTTATTAAAATATATGATTTAGTCATTTTAAGTTTATGATAGAGAGTGGCTGTGTTTAGTGCATTTGCTAGAGGTTAATTGATGCGCTAGAAAAGGTATGACATTACCTCAATATTCTGTTAAACACTCACCCCCTCAATTCAACACATTTAGGGGGTAATACTTTATTGTTCATTCATATGCAATAAATACTGTTAACATAAATCAATCTTGTTTAGATAATTGTTATTACTTTCTTGATGATTTATGATGGGGTCAAAGTATTTTCTTTATCTTAGAAATTCTAAAGAACAATCCTCATGCAGTTAATGTAACTGTCTCGGCTACTGTCTTGCTACTGCGAGATAAAAATAGATAGATCAATTCGATTTCTTAGTTAATATTTAATTAAAAATCAACATTCGCGCCTTACTGGATAATTGACGATGACACAACAAAAATAAATAAAATAATAAACTACACTAAATCACATTTTACAGCAGCACTCATTTTGGAACCAGGTTTACACATAAAATCATTGGCGAAATTGGGGTGATGTCTTACGAACCCAGAGATCTTCGCAGAGATCAGGGTGCCGTTTACGCCAAACTTATGATATGGATTAACTGGTTCGCACAAGATCGACGTGGTTGCAAGCCAAAACAGTTGCTTCGGGGTGAAATTTAATCCAATTAGCATGTTTTGATCCTCCTTAAAGTGCTTTTCGTATGCACTGTACGCTAGTGTACTACCGACGCTGAACTGCACTATGTTGTTCACCTACAAACAATATACCTGCATCGTTTCCGGTCATTTAATCTCTTACCTCCGGCATATCCAAATTCACGCGATAGTCCCTCATTGCCCTTATAACGCACTTCATATTCTCACTTTGTCCAAACTCTTGCGTTATAAGGCTTAACTGGTGTCCTACTGTGGTACCTAAACTACCATAATTCATATACTCAGGCCGCATGGTACTGAAGACCTCGTCTTGGGTAAATACGCTCGATAAATCTATAAGAACGTCAGGCTTTATAGCTTCAATTGAAGCGTTTACTCACACAGCACATTCTTCTCCCGGTTATATGCAATGAAACTTATCAAAGCTTTCTGGTACCATTCATCATAAAGACCTCCCTTCTGACCAACTTTCGCATACAACATTGACCGTTGATTTCTGATCGCCTGCGCCATTAAGCTGATAAAACTGTTATCCCCACTTCCTATCTGCAAGACGCGAATTTATATGATTCCCTCAACAACACGCGTAGGTACCATATCAACTGCAACTTTTTTGAAGATCTCATCGCTGAAGTAATCGTCAGGTTGTCCAATGGCTAGTCGCATCGTTTTGACCATGTTTTGCAATTTTTCCGGTTTACCAGCTAATGAGCTTAGAAATTCCGCTTGAATATTCGACACTAATTCTTCAACTTTTCGCTTTTTTTGCAGAGGTAAGTATCTGCGATCGCACATTATATCTATTGGATTTGGTAGGAACCTAAAAATGCGAGATGAATCCCGATTACATTAATGCCAGTTTACTTGTCGTGGATTCGTTCTAGGCAAGTTTCTTGAAGAGTTTGAGGTTTCTTCCAGATAACATTGTAGTTCTGGTACTTGTCAGGGAGGTAGGGGAGAATCTTTTCTATTACGGTCCAGATTAAGAAATTCGCTTGTGTTCTGCAAAAGAAACTGAGGCGTGTTATTGTCGGAGGGAGTGTTGTTACCTTTTGGGTGTGTTTGTAATTAGGCCGATCCAATTTTTCATTGTGGGTGCCGGTGGGAAGATGACCGTGTCGTTTTTGCGAACGGTTAAGACGGGATTTGTTAAGTTATTTAGAAATTGCAACCAGTCGACGACACCATATTTTTGTTGGTATTTGGCGACAGTGTATTGGGTTGAATTGCCAGATCCGTAGTTATTGTGCGTTTGCTGAAGTTTATAAGTGAGTGAGCTGTCACACTATTCCCAGCTTACCAGTTGAAGATCAATGAGAAAATTATGCACGAGCTGCATTTCGGCGGTAATCTTATCCCTGTTAGTGGCACCAAATGCTAAAGCTGTTTCCACCATAAAATCCAGTTTGTCGAAGTTGTGCGAGCTGTAATCGAATACGTCGGGTAGTTCCACCTGGTGCGCCCACCGTTAGTGGAGTTGGTTTGAACATTAAAAACTTACCTTGAGCACATGCGTGTCCCGGTTCGGTTCCACAGTTAAATCCAAGAATGCGGAATGGTGGTATCCTAATTTCCTTAGTCGGTAAGTAGCTTGCAACCAATCAAATTTAGTTTCGTTCCATCGATCACCATCCAATACTGGCCATCCTCCAACGGAAGCAATGGCACGCTTTATGCTTTTCAAGTTTTCACTTTCGAGGTTGTTTTCATCCATACAGGATTGGAACAACTTCTTAGCCGTCTTCACCATCGCGGGTTCGTTAGCTACGATCGGTTCACTGTACACTTCCAATACCTGCCTTTTATGTTTCGACGCCATTCTATCCATAAATCTGAAGCTGTCATCGCCATGAGCGCGTTTCATAAAATTCCCGCAAGCAAATTGATAGAAGTCATCGCACGGGTCTGTTTCCGAGTCCACATATTGCATAATATTGCCGGCCTCGATTAAGCATGCTGTTGTATTGCATGAACTTTCCGTTCTTCTTAAATCTGTGCCACATTCATTTTTGCATGAAATGCACACAAATAGAACAATTTCACTTACCAGATTTGTTACTTAATAAAACTCCTAAGATTATGACTACTATTATTGCCAAGACAATGGCCAGAATGAGAATTTTCTCTAAGCTCGACCTGTTTTTCCAACAGTTTCGTCTGGCATCCAACCTTCGCGAGAAAAAAGAAATGTGATTTTGAGACGTTGGTCGTTAATCTTACCTCGTTGGCATTATTGTATCGGATTCGAATAACGATGGCATGTATGGAATTAATCGCACTCACGAAACAGTTACTAACTACTATACGATATGCTACTAAATGTAGTTATTTATAGACATAACCCACTATAAGAATTTTACTTAAACGCTTAAGAGTAGGGATGCCGAAGTAAACAGAGATTTTTGCAATTGCCGCTCGTAAATAAATTTTTTTTTGCTCGAACACGGAAATGGGAACACTGAATTAATTATACAGTACTTATTTTTGAGTAGTGAATGATCTAAAAATACTAAAATATAGGTCATTGAATTAGGTTGTGGAACAATATCGACAGCTACCGTAAATAATCGCAGCGTTTATGACACTTCGATAGAATGCGGTTATATGCTTATTTTCAATGCTTGTCTGCTTATTTGGCATTTCGCAGAACGTGGGAAGTCGTCAAGAAAATGTTACCATAAGCTACTTCACGGTGGGTAAAGTTCTGCTTCGTAGTTCACTTGCAATCAGACATTCATCCACGAAATCATCTACGGTCGCTTCAATGGCTTCATGCGAAGCGTTATCGAAAGCACCCTCTCAGAGCTGGGCAGTATTCGATTTTGTAAATACTTTTTAGTATTCAAATCCTTTAAAGTATTCAAATACTTTGAAATTAAATACTTTTATGGAAGCAGTATTTGTATTTGTAACTCAAATACTTTCACAAATAATTTAGTATTCGAATACTTCGCAAGGTATTTGAATACTTTGAGAACTATTCGATTACTTCGCATAGTATTTGAATACTTAACTTTCCTTTTTTACCAAAAATCGACTACACCAAAATATCTCTGGAAAACACTTTTTCTTATTAATTTTCGTACGTAGAATCCAGGGTAGAATCCAAAACAATTCGTACTCTTTCGATTAGACCTCTCAATCAAAAGTTATGGACTAGAAACCAATTTCGAAAGAAAATTCAAAGGGCTGTAACTTTTGAACTAGTAGCCCAGTTTTGGAACTGTTCGAAATTATGGATTCTACAGGCCACATTTTATAAGAAATTTTATTTTTAAATTTTTAATGTATTTGAGTGACAAGTATTTGAATACTTATTTTTTAAAGTATTTGAATACTTTTCAATGTATCTGTATCTAGTATTCGCTTGTGCTGGACGTAAAAGTATTTAGTATTCAAATGCCTTTGATTTGTGTAAAGTAGTTACTATTTAGTATTCAAATACTTTTTTAAAGTATTCTGCTCAGTTCTGCACCCTCTATACCCGCAAACGCGGTTAGAGCCACCTCTTTTGAGATGAGCACCTTTACAAGTTTGTATGTATGTAGGGCCGTCATTGTCGATTTTCCTTTTTGATAGACGTGTTGTTAGGGGTGAAGCGGATGTTGTGTTAAAACCTCACTTCACTGGAATTGGTCTAAGACTTTTTTCATCACCCCTGCATTAGGAACGAGCTGAGGCTGATGGGTCTATACGCCTTGGACAGGTCGATTGAGCATCATGTCCCTTTTGGATGAACACCGCATTCACCTCCTGCCAGTCCTGCCACGTTGTGGGTATGTAAGCTAAACCGAAGATACCTCTGTAGAGCTTATATCTAGACTCAAAATAGTCCGTTAGAGTGATCGGACGCGTTCTTGATAAGCGAGTCTGTTGCTGCTTTTCAATTTTAATTTGTATTTGAATTTGTATTTGAATTTTTAATGTGTTATTGTGCTTGATATAAATTATAGTGACTGTTTAAACGTTTTAATTTTTCGATTGCGCCACGGGATGGGCGATGACGTAATGCTCTGTGTTGCGTGTTCTGAACAGATATCTGATCCGAAAGTACTGGTTCAATGTGCTCAATGTACGTCGTCGTTTCATTCTGGATGTTGTGGAGTAAGTGACCTGAGGGGCTTCCATATGAGGCGTTCGACGTGGAAATGTCCAACTTGTGATGCTATCGATCCTCCCGAAATTGAGCCAGTTCGTAGTAACAAACGTCTTCGAAGTGAGAGCGGAGATTACGTTATCTTAGAACGAGCTGTGTTAAACGAGTTATTAGATACGGTGAGATCATTGAATAAATCTATGGCAGAAATTAAATCTGAATTGATCGAAGTACGCAAAGTAAATAATTCGCTTATCGGCAAGTTATCCTTTCTTGATAACAGCAAAGGGAACTATAATAAACAACCTGTATCATACGCAAAAATGGTATCAAATCAGAACCGAAATTCTCCACGATCAAACCATGTTGAAAAAAAGGCTGCCTCTCCTGTATGTAATCCAGACGTCATTGACGGTCCCGCTACACTCACTACCGAGCATGTTAACAAGGCCATCACAAACGTCCCTGAGAACCTCCCTGGAACCTCTTCCAATGACGGTTTCAAAACTGTTACCTCGCGCCGCAAAAAAATACAAAAACCGATCTTTATTGGTCAAATGGAAAATGACAGTCGAGCGGATGGAAATTGCACTACAACTTTCGAAAGTACCGAACGTCGTCATTGGGTTTACGTTGGTCGAGTAAAGGACGGCACGTCTGCAGAAACCATTGCAGGATTTGTAAAAACAAAATGGAGCTTAAGCGATGTATTATGCACACAATTGGCCTCTAGAGATGGTATTTGTTCTTTTAAAGTTGGTGTTAGAGAGTCGAACTTTCCCGGCTTGCTCGATCCTTCTAAATGGCCAAAAGGTGTCGCTGTACGCGAGTTTGTTTACATCCCGAGAAGTGGCGGTTCTTTCGAAAATCGAATCCGCAGTGAAAATTTTCATCAGGTGGCAGCTCAGAACATGGACACTTAAATTGTGGTAGTGGCGCTATTGAAGTCTTTTATCAGAACGTACGAGGTCTCAGATCCAAGAGACGTTTTTAACAACTCTCTAATAATCCAATGTCAAGTCATTGCTCTTACTGAGACATGGCTCATTCCTGAAATTTCAACCGCTGAGATATTTGATCAAAAGTCATTCACTGTATATCGAAATGACAGATCCAACAGAACCAGCTCAAAAAGTCGCGGAGGGGGTGTTCTGCTCGCTATCAAAGCGCCGCTAAAATCACTTCCCCTAATTGCGCAAGCGAATCCTCCGATTGAAGAGATATGGGCTATGGTTACTTTGGTTAACAATAAGCGAATAATTTTGTGTTGCATCTACCTTCCACCGAATTCGGATGTTGAGTCGTACTGTTCACATCTAGAGTCTGTGAATCGCATACATTCACGTTATCCTAGCGCAGACATAATACTCTTGGGTGATTATAATTTGAGCAATGTAAAGTGGAGCATCGACTCCGACAGCAACCATTTATCAGCATTCTGTAACCGTAACAGAACAGCCGAAATCTTATGCCAGAATTTACATGTAATTGGGTTCAATCAGTACAACAACATCAGGAACAGTGCCCATAGCAATAATATTCTGGATTTGATCTTCTCCAACTGTGATCTATCAGTAAAAAAATGTTATACGTGTTTAGTCAGCTGTGATTCTTACCATCCAGCCCTTACTGTTATCATACCCGTGCACTCACATTTCATAAATGAAAGTAAAAATCGGGCTGTGTATAAATATAATTTTTCAAATGCACCTTACGATTTGATAAATGATCAGATCAGGACTGTAAACTGGCACACCCTTTTTTCTAACTGTGATATTGAGTCATGTGTTGATAGATTCTATTCTGTGATATATAATATAATCGAAGCATCCGTTCCAAAAATTAAGTGTTATGATTCTACATACCCTCCTTGGTTCAGCAGTAGACTTCAGATGATGATTAAATCTAAAAAGTTAGCACACAAACGTTTCAAAGAAACTAAATCCATGAGTGATTATACACCATTTTTTCGAATCTCCGTGAGCAGTGTAAAGCTATGATCTCCGAGTGTCACGATCGTTTCGTGAAATCGTGCGAAGATAACATCACTTCAAATCCACGAAACTTCTGGAGGTTCTACCACAACATCAACAAAACATCACAACTGCCATCTACCATGTGTATAGGTGAGACTCTCATTACTGACAACGAAGCCATTGCCAACGGTTTTGCTGATCATTTTGCCTCTGCTTTTACGGACGGAACACTCAAGGAAAACTCCTTCTCTTCCACAACTGAGGTAACACTGAATTGTTTCACAATTTCTGCTGAACAGATTTTCAACCATCTCATACGTACCAAAGAGAACGGGAGTGTCGGCCCTGACGGAATAGCTCCTAGATTTTTAAAATGTTGTGCCGAATCTATCTATTTACCCATGTTTCTGTTGTTCTCGTCTATTTTAAAAAGTGGATGTGTTCCTTCAGTGTGGAAAAATTCTCGGATAGTTCCAATACATAAAAGTGGTGCTAAGAATGAAATCTCTAATTATAGACCTATAGCAATTCTCTCTGCTATTCCGAAATTATTGGAGGCGATTCTTGCTCCTCAATTAACGGATGCTTTTTCGACTATAATTACTCAATACCAACACGGATTTAGCAAAGGCAGATCAGCTGAAACCAACTTGTTCGGCTACACCAATGACATTTTCGTCTCACTGGACCGTGGACTTGATGTTCACGCGGTTTACACGGACTTCGCTAAGGCCTTCGATAAAGTTAACCACGACTTATTAATATTTAAGCTAAAAAAATATGGTGTTAGCGGAACTGCTTTGATTCTGCTCCAGAACTACTTATGCAATCGGAAAGCACAGGTGAAGATAAGTGATAAGTGGTCCAATCCAATTGAAGTGAGTTCGGGTGTTCCTCAAGGATCCCATCTTGGTCCAGTACTATTTTTGATTTTTATAAACGATATATCATCGGTGTTTGTGTCTAAACATGTCTTATTTGCGGACGATCTGAAGATATATAGACCTATTGCAGACCTTCGAGACATGAGTTTGCTACAATCTGATTTAGTGCGACTTGAAAAGTGGGTGGTTGAAAATGACATGAAATTAAATGTTGAAAAGTGTCACGTGATCTGTTTTTCCAGAAGGAACTCTCCATCTTTGCAAAGTTACTATCTGTACGGTCAGCTGATTGATTGCGTGGATTCTGTTCGTGATTTAGGTGTGATCTTGGATTCCAAGCTTACATTTCGATTGCATTATGATCACATTGTATC